CCCACCCTACACCCCAATGGTGGTCAGCTTCTCTGCGGTTCTCCTCGGTATCGCGCCTCTCTTACTGAGGCTTTATGTGGTTATCCACTCCAATTTCCGAGACTTAGGCAGCCGGTCATCATGGGTGAGCAGTAGGTCTCGTTAACTATGGATTTTACCTCATCTGCTAAGTCGCCATACAGTGATATATATATATATATATAAGTAAAAAATAAATCCGTGGTATTTTAGTCCAGATTAATGCCTCCTTCCATCTGGCGACTATTGTCAATGCACATAACACTCATCATCTACGCATTTTTGATTGACCAACGATTGTAGTCCTTTCTGAAGCTTGCAGTTGACTTGCCACTCAGAAAGCGGAATGCAGCTCTCCGCAATCAAATACAGTTCACTTAAAAGAGCTTCCACTCGCCTCCGATGTTCGACTCATTTTCTACTAGATAAGTTTTCATTTTGGCTGTATATCCATAGGCTAGGTGGAATCCGTTAGAATACTGCATGACGGTTCCTTGTTTTCCTTCTGCGGCGGCAGGAAAGTTTTTTCCAAAATTTCACCACTTCTAGAAGAAATACTTTCTCTTTCTTTGCTGAAAGCACACGATTAAATATTCTTCGGCTTGATTTTTTTCGGAATTCATTTGATACTTTTATTCGTCTCGCAGCTTCGCGAACTTGTCATCTCACCCAACGCTTCCGAACAATTTGTGGCGACTGTGTGTGCATGGTGTCTAGCCCGTCTTCGTCCAATTTGCATGGTCCCACCAACCCAGCTGCTTGCTCAACTGCGTCGCATTTTGCAGTCTGCTGCGTCTAACGCTACTCGCCCGCGAAATTCAGTCAGTCGTCGACCAGATGGGACAAAGCGTTCCAGCCGGGTGAGTTCCGACTCTCATCGTCGTTCCGCGAAACCCACTTTAGATGCACTGACTCGGATACGCGAAGGAAGTCCATTCAATGATGGTCCCGGATCGTTACCACGACCGGTACCGGCCTCTCCATCAGATTCTGAGATGACTTCGGATACTGAAGAGGATGAGGACGAGGATGAAGATGATGATGATGATGATGACGATGATGATCAAGACCAAGATGGTGATGGGAATGGTGACGAGGAGGGTGCTGTTGGTAACGCGGGTGTTATGCCGTCTAGCACAAATTTAGCTCCGACTGTTTCTAGCATAAAAGACTGTTCCACCGGATTGTCAAGCACCGCTGCCAAGGACGTCAAATCTTTGCTTGATTTCAGTCCGGATTCATCGGCAAACAAGCAGCTGCTTGGTGCTTGGTCCCGTTGTCCATTGCTGATGGATATGCTGTACTTGGCGTATGAGTTACTGCTGGTAAGAAATTGTCGCACTTCACAAATTCTGTTTTATCTTGAACTCAAACAGTTGGAGAATCGAATTCGATGTTGGTATTATTAAGCATCAAGGTCTGTCTGTCTACGCAGTGTTGCACAAATCTGGTGGGGTAACTATACAACTAATGCTGAGAATAGGCACGGAGTTTCGGGTAAATGCCATCGCCCACTGTAACAAGTTTTCAACCTCCATAGATGACGTTGGTTGGGGCGTGCTTTATGCACGTCGCGAAATAGGTTGCGGCGGTAGATTGTGGGTGGAAAGAAACCAAGGGTGGTCAAATTAAGATCTGGCACTAGTGTATAAAAACCGCAACCAGGAAATTCGATCCTATAGATCGCGTTGGGCTTTTTAAATGGGTACTTCGGGATCTCCATTTTCTTTTTGACTCTACTTTCATCTTTCCTTTCCTCGTCCTACTGTTCGTCCAAAAGGGCAGCCAAAAGACAGCAACCAAAATCGACAACACACAAGTGCCTGGTTAATGGCTGTACAAACTAACAAACAAATAACCTCACGTAATGTGTTCTACTAGTTAGTTTAGGAGCTTTTCAGATTTTCTCCAACGTTTGGCTGTAGAACAACTCCCTAAACGACGACGTCAGTGTGCCACGCGGACGTTTGTAATGCGCAATTGTGGCTTAATGTTGAGAGAGACAGCCATAGCTCCCACCTGTGAGAAACGTGCTCCACATGGGTTTACACAGCATTACTCTATAACCCAATTTCAATTGAAGAGTATT